CCTCAGCCTTCCAAGTAGCCGGAATTACAGGCATGCACCACCACGCCCAGCTGATTTTTTGATTTATTGTAGAGATGAGGTCTTGCTGTCCAGGCGGGTCTCGAACCCGCGGGCTCAGGCAATCCACTCACCTCAGCCTCCCAAAGGCGCGGGATTACAGGCTGTCAGCTCCCAACTTTTAAGTGGATTAATTTGTTAGCTTTTCCCTTCATGTAGGGTTGCCAGATAAAATAGGGTACCAGTTAAATGTGAATTTCAAATGGACAAGAGATTTTAAGATTTTTTAAAATACTTTTAGTCCCATGCAACATTTGGGACATACTTATGCTTAAAAAAAAAGTAGTCATTGATGATCTGAAATGTAAATTTCACTAGGTGGCTTGTTGTTTGCTAAATCTGGCCATCCTACCCCCCATATCAATCTTCTTAGCCTGAATGAGTGTCTTTCGGGACTCCTTCATGGGGTTCGTGAAACAAGTCAAGCTTTTGAGTGGTCGAAGTTCTTTGTGGCCTGCCGTTAACCTGGACACTGTGAGTAGAAAGATCACTGCAGTAAAATCTCATGGGAAGCATGAAAGTTGTCAGAATCGAAACGGATCACTGTGTTCAAAACCCTGACAGACAGAATGGAGTAATCTCATGCATGAACGTCAGATAACTAGAACTATCACAAAGATGGCACAAACTACAACTTAACTGAAAGGCCAGCACAACCTTATGCACCAAAAATACTTCACAAGGACATCTGCCCGGTGACTGCCTGTCCAATGGGGCCACCCTTGTTGTTGGTCCTTGTAACTGAGGATAACTATCTCACAACAATTGTGTGACCCTCCCCACTTGTGCTTTAACAACTGCTGCCTCTCTTTGCCTCTCAGGACACGCACAGTTGGCTACGGTATGCATATTCCCACTGCAGCGACTGTTCCCGAGCAAACGTTTTCTTCTAGAGTCTCCCTCTCTGTTTGTTACTTAGGTTGACAGAAGCCAGGGGTTTCCCGTACACAGAATACTCTCCCATCCACTCTTTTCGTGGAGGCAGGTGTGAGCCCCTTATTGAGATGGGAAGACAGAGGCTCAGTGAACAGAGGTCGCCTGCTGAGGGTACACAGTATAAGGCAGGGCCACGGCTGACATGAACCCAGGCCTCTTTTCCATGAGCAACTTTCCCTGAGACAAGACTGGTCAGGGGTTGGTCTGGAGGGAAGTGGGGAGGTCTCTCCTCACCCCGAGTTGTTCCCACTCCTTCTTCACACGCACCTTGACCTCCTTCTCCAAGTAGTCGCACAGCAGAATCTGGGGGTCGATGAGGTAGTCCGGGGGATAAAGGGGCATGGAGTGCAGGGGCCGGCGGCTCACGCTGCTCCGGAGGGCTGCCCGGCGTGCGGCCTTGGGGAACACCAGCCTGCGGATGGGAGCTACGAAGCCCTGGGGAGGAAGGGAGATAACAGGAAACAGTGGCTGGTTTTATCGAGCACTTACCTTGCTCACTTTTGTTTACATTACCTAATTCTCACAAAAACTGCAGAATCAAGCCGGGCTCGGTGGCTCAGCCTGTAATCCCGCGCCTTTGGGAGGCTGAGGTGAGTGGATTGCCTGAGCCCACGGGTTTGAGACCA